CTTTAATGCTAGCACAGAATGCTCTTTGACTCCAAAGGTATCATTTCTAGCTGGCACAGGACCGATAAAACCATTCGTTTCCTCTTCAGATTTTGTTTTCTACTAATTGAATGTCTGTTCTTGTAAAGCATATTTGTGAGTGGTACACAGTGCTTGCTGCAGCCCAGCTTGCCAAGCTCCCGAGTTTATCCATTTGATAAAATACATAATTATGCGCACTGTGTGTGCACAGCCCAAGGTCCCACTGACTCTGACGGCTGGTAAGATGTCATTTTAAGACCGTCTGCGTCTGTTCGTAAGTTATTATTCCGTCCATCCCGGTTTCAGTTATGTTATTTGTTGCAGCTGTTTATCCTCGTCGGCTAAGGATTTCTAAGCAGCTTCCGGGATTTAGACACATTTTTTGGTTTATGTCCATATTCTTTACATTTCCGTGAAGAATCTCATTTATAGAGCTCTGTTAAGCTCCCTGATAGCGACCTCCTGGGCTTTTGGCACAAAATTTCCACATTTCACTTCAAGATTGATCAACGGGTGAAGCAGATTAAAAAGACGTATTTGGAGAGCGGAGGAATAATGTGCTCTCCGCCTACTGGGGCCTGAAGAGGAACAGGCGGGAGAGAGCGGCGGCAGCAGGGGCTGCGCGCAGCCGTGAGGCGGGCTCGCCCCGCTCTGCCGGGGGGCGCCGCCGCCATTTCCCCCCTCACGTCGCTGGGGAGGGCGGGCGCGGTCACGCGGTGCCTCTCGCGCGGCGCCGCTGCCCCTCAGGCGCGTCCCCGCGCGCCCCCTGCGGCGGCGGCGGCGGCGGCGGCGGCGGCGGCGGGGCGGGGGGGGATATGTGAGCGGTTGGGCCCGGCTGCCTGGGCGGCGCCGCGCCTCGCCCCGCTCCCCGTCGGGGCAGCCACCCCGCCTGCCGAGGCGCTGCTCCGCGGCACGGGAGCGCCGCGCCGGGCCGGCTCCGGAGGAAGGACTTGCCCCCCGCTCCGCCCCCCCCCCCCCCCACCGCCCCCGGGTGGGTACCGGCCGCCGCGCAGTCCCGCCGCGGGGGCGCCCCCTAGCGGGGCGGGAGGCGGGCGGGGCGCTGCGGGGGTGGGAAGGCGGCGGGAGCGGGGGGGGGCGCTGCGTGGTCGTCACGCGGCAGCCGCGCGTGGGACCCTCGCGGCTGCGCAACGGAGGCTGTGTGTTGTGTTGACGTCAGAGCCGATGGGGTTTTCCCGTGGTTTTGGATTTTTTTTTTTTTTTTTTTTTTTTTTTTTGTGGCCAGAGCTAGCGAGCCGTGGCAGGCTGGACCCGGCGCCTCCGGTGTCAGCGGGGGCTCCGGGTTGAGGTCGTTTGCAAATGGCGGGTTCCCGGGCGGACAGAGTGAGGTCGTAAAGCCTGGGGCACGGTGAGCCGATGGCGAGGTGCTGCCTGGCCTGCCTGCGCGCCTCGGGGGTCACCGCTGGCACCTTCGTACGCTGCCAGGCCAGCTGAAGCAACAGGTATCACCACAGCGCTTAAGGAGGGATTGCTTGGTTCGGCCCAACCAAGTACTGGGCACAGGCTGATCCCCCCTGTGTGAACCTGTACGTGGCTGCTAAAGGTGTTACATCCATCTACCCAGTGGCAAAAAGCAATCTGCTTATTTCTGTACAGCGCTGTCAGGTTAAAAGCATTTTGTTTGATCTTGCGCACGGTCAGAAGTCCACAAGCAATCGTACAGGATAGGGCCACATACTCGTTATGACCACTGCTCAGGAGAGCTAGCATCCACAGAGGCATGTTTCATGGGTGCTGGCTGCAGGGAATACATACCACACTGGGACTTCTAAGTTTCCTTTTCGATCACATTGCTCAAACATGAGAATTAGTCACCCACCATACTGAAAACCATGACCTTTGTATTTACACAAAAAAAGGAATGACAAGCTCAGGAGAAGGAAAGAAAACTAGAGAGAACAAAAAATAAAGAACCCCAAACCCAGGAATGTCTTTGCTTTTTGAAACTGTCAGCTGCTGTTATTCAGATGGGAGCTAACAAAGTTGTTGCTGTGATTGGGTTTGTTTAGTGTATCTATCTGCATGAACTCCAAGGGACTCATCTCAGCAGCACTGCAGGCCCTGCAGCAGGCATATTCTGGTCACAATAAAGGAGGGCAAAGCTTTGTGTGTCTGCCCATCCAGTAAAGGAACCATCTGCACATTTATTTTAGAAATACACACCATCTTATCTTTAGAGCAATCCTGCCCTTCGACCATTTCCAGCAAAAAAATTGTGCTGTAAGGGAACAAAATGGTGGCATGGAAGAGTACTTATCTCAAAGTAACTGCTCAGCAGAACATGGAGATCCAAAAGCAAACAAGTCTTCAAAAAAAATGGCTAACAGGACAGAATTCTCGAGTCTGATTTTCCTCATGTTCGGTCTCTTCCTAAAGAAGAACAAAAATACCTAACTGTTTTCTAGTATTTTTCATCAACAAAGCACCAGCTGCAAAATTTACTATAGAGCAGATAAAAGTATATAGTGTGGTAGACCTGAATGGGACCTGACAAAGAACATGACTTTGAAGAGAACAGACTTAACGTGCATCAACATTTAAACATAGCAGGCTGGCCTGACTGACAAAACCTAAACATTGAAGTGGATTTATTTTTATGCGCCTCTCTTTATCGTACTGATATCATCCTTTCAGACAAAGGGGACAAACCTCTTGCAATGATTATTTGTGTAAGTGAAGATGATGAACTGGACAGGCTTCTAACATACCTGCGAAGTGTTGCCCATCCAGCAGACAAGTTGGATCCACGGGGTAAGGATGTAAAGAACAGAGGTTGCAGGAGACATTTATGAGCAGCCTGCTGACACGGTCATTAGAGCCACTTGCATCCATCCCGTTCTCTGATGTATTCAAAGGGTGTTCTCAGTAGGAAATTTGGCCGTGTACCAGCAGGCAGCTACATTTTTAAGTGGACACCCCTGTTAAAGAAACATTTTCTGTGTTACAGCGTGAGCTGTACCATCTGTTGTCTAGCTCATTTATCGCCGGCTAAGCTTGCAGAGAAACATGATGAGGAACTGAAATGATGCAAAAAGCCAATGTCCTTGGGGAAACGGTTTTGTATTTTTTCCCACAGGGAGCAAGAACTTCTGCGTTTTAGAAGTGCCTACAACACTAAATGAGAGAGACATAAATGTTAGAACTGATCAAAACCAAGGAGAAGAAAGAAAGAAAGAAAGTTGATCCACAGAGGCTAAGTAATTGAGATCTGTAACAGCAGGCCTGCATGCTGAAAAACATCTAAATCCTTGTTTAATGCGCTTCAAATAATTGAGACTTCATTTAAATAGCCTGTCATTAAAATCCAGTGAAGATCAATAGGAGCAGCCTATTAGGGCAGCGGTTTCTGTGTTTGAAATGGTTGGTTCTTATGTGCTGCCTTCTGATTTGTCTCTTTCATGGCTGCCTGCTCCTAATTTCACTTCATTTTGTATACACTGATTTTTTGTTTTTGAGAGACACACAGAGGGCTGATTCACTCTTTGTTCTGGAAATTACGATAGCAGCAGGGAGGAGGAAGAGAGGAGAAAGATGTTTCCCAACACTTCTGGGGTCTGAAATGGGACTTGTTCCCATCAGCACCTGGGCTCGCATGCCCCTTGCTTCGGCAGCAACTCTAACTCCCACACTATTACCGGTTTGATTTTTCTGGAGATGCCACAGCAACTCAGGCAAGGTGAATGTGAATCGTTGGCGTTTAGCATGGTGGGGAGCAGGGGGTGGGAATCCTCACATGCTGCCAGGCAGAGGGCTCTGGTGCCCGCCTCTCCAAGCAGGAGTGCTGTAGAGCAGCGCTGTGGGCAGGCTGCCCTCGGATGTGCCTTTCAGGTCAGTATCAAAGTATTTCTGATGGACTGAAAAGGGTAGCAGACATTTGGAAGGAGGTTTGAAAAACTAGCTTATAAGGTTTGGAGTGGTTCAGAACTTCTTGCAAGAAACCTCAGGCAGCTTGGTCAGATACGCTTCAATTTTCCAGTGACTATTATTGTCTATTAATAATGTATATTACATACTCTGGAAATAACTTTTCCACATGAAGAAATTGCAGCCATTTGACTGCATCCAAGATCACATGCTGGCAGAAGTGAATTCTCAAATCATTGTAGATGGTTTTTAAGGGTGGTGGCGGGGGGGGGTACTGCTGCCTAATTTGAGTGGAGGTATATCTCATAAAAATATAGCTCCGTTAAATACCTGATTAGCGCAAAGACATTCTTCAGCAAGGTTCTGTTTTATAATAGACACAGGGGTGTAATTGCTCAGATACCAACAATATGATGAAAGGAAGGGAACCTGAATGGACAAGTAGAAATTACAACATCTTTGTGATGCTACTCCCAGGTATGCTGTAAGCCTTGCAGAGTGATTTCCAATCTCTGTGTGAACATGTAGCAAAGTACACGGCTTAACAGCCGTTATTGTTTATATTAATCTTTAATGCCATATTGGTTTCTGTGGGCATAAGAAGGGCTGCTCCAGGGCCCCTGAGCAAAAAATTGCTCCTTGTTTTCCCATCGTTATATGCAGAATTACTGCTGCCTTTCCATGCCTGAAGTGGCCGAGTTTCAAGAGCACCTAGTATATTCGTCATGGATAATTCATGTTATGACTCCTCAAACTGAAAGACTAGTAAAAATGCATGCTGTGCAGGAAGAGACTTCAAGAATGAATTGGAATCAGTGCCCAGTCCTCAGCAGTAAAGCATTACCACACCATATCTACGAGAGCTCCTGTTCAGTTCCACGTGTGCGTGGATGCGCTGGTGCATTATTGCAGCACATACCGGGGAAGGAAAGCACTTTTTGTTAAAACAATTCTACATACAAAAAATGTTACAAAAGCCTAACCAGGAATGCTTTTATATTCACATTTGATTATTTTTTTCGGTCAAAATAAGCATAGGCATATAATAATGTATTTGATTTTCTCCATTAATTCAAAGAAAATCTTCACTTCTGAAGTAGATTTTTAAGATTTTTATTATCATTAATTATGTGTATAACAATAGCAGCCAGAAGCCTCCAAATTAGTGCCCAATGCATAGGGCCCCATTGTACAAACTGATGTTAAAAAAACAGCTCCAGCTTCAAACTGACGACAAATGAAATCGTGAGGATAAAGAAGTCCCTTTGGGGTCCATGTCTAAGCAGCCAGGCAGAGACCCAGGGAACACACAGCATGCTAATGAGTGTGATATAGTTTCTTCACTTTTGGGTAGACTCTGGAGGAGGCAAAAAGAATCAGATCTGTTGGAGCACTGTTTCCCATGAGGGCGTGGCCACAGCAATGAGATCACTATGACTCATTTCTTCATGCTTGCTGAGGATCCTAGTTTCAATCCTTGCTCAGTAGGATCCTGAAATTCAGCAAGTGAAAAAACGTGTCCTCACTGAGGACACGTAGTAAACTTCCCATTGTCTTCTCTGAAATTGGGATTTTGAGCCTGCTCTGTGGTGACGGGTACAAACCATGGGAAGAAAGAAGCTGCAGAAGGAGGAGGAGGAGACAGACCTGCAGACAAGTAGTTTACCCAGACCGAGCACAACAATTCAGTCCATCATGCCCTGCAAGCGAGGCCAACTGAATGCTTTCCAGTGGGGCTGATGTCCTGGATGAGTGCTTTCCAGGAAAATATGACTGAAAAAATGGAGTGGGAAAATATCTGCACTACCTTGCATGAAGGTGATGGTGGCTCTGCTTCCTTGTCCCTATTGCACCAATGCCTAGGGAATACAGAATTAGTCCAGAAGAAGCTAGAAAGAGGTTATAAAGGATCCAGCAGGAAAGACAAAAGAATACCACAGATAAGAGAGCCCCAGTTACGCACCTTCAGAGAGGCAGAGGTAGCTTGGGCCATCACTGAACAGGACAACCTACCTGCCTGGCCGAGTCTAGTTCTCCAAAGGCCATGCAGAGGTGAAAGGGAGACTGGTTGTTCATGCGCCCTTTTTGCCAGCCACACAAGAGTGAGTCTTGCACATCTGTACTGAACTTTACATCCCAGATATATAAATAATGAAGAATTATTCTCCTGGGAGGTGAAGGCCACTAAGCCCATCCTTTTGGTCTATGGATGAGAACCTCATCATGACACAGGGGTCACCTTGTCAGCTTTATAGGTGCTCTTCACCCACTGAGCAGTACTACTGGAAACAGAACAGCTATGCAGTGAACCCCTCAGCTTTAAAACCTTGCTGGGAAGGTGCCCTCCCTACCAGAGGTCATTTCTGTTAAGGCAGATGAGATCCCACTAGATAAGAGATCTCTTTGCTGTCTGGTAGGAAACACGGTGCTGACTCTCCTGAGGACTCAGACTGAAGATAGGCTCCTGCAGCGCTCACCTGTGCAGGACAATGTCAGAAAATTACCCCTTGTCAGGCAATCATTAAAAACATTATCTTTTCCTCTTGGGATTTCCTCGAGACTCTGTTCCCTTCACCTTTCTCTCCACAGTGACTGCTGGAGGAGGCTGGAGGACACAGGACCTGAACCGAAGCCAACTGAGTAGCTGAAACTCCCTTCTAACTAAAGCTACCATTACCGTTTAAATCCAACCCCTTGGTCCCGTTGCTTATCAGCTCTCAGTGTGACAGCAGCTACACTCTGATTTCAGCTCAGACAGGGTGAGGTCTGGAAATAGCTTCATGCTGCCTAAGTAAAGCTCTGCTTACTAATGAAAATATCAGAGGGAATGACAAAATTGTTTGGGCAGGTGAAGGAAAGTATGTTTGACCCTGACTAAATTCTCCATCTTTGGGTAATCCCTCCCTTTCCTGACACTCAGGAAATGTCCACAGATGGTTATTGTAGACCCTTCCTCCACCTGCTAGCAGCTCTGTGTCTTAAAACTTCAGTGACATTATTCATGCAGCAGTGTGCTGGGCACACATCACTCTCATCTTCAGGAGTTTGAATTCCTCTGGCGAGGTGCAATAAGACAGATATGAATCAGGGTCCAAAACTATAAACGTTATTTGCTCAGGATTAGTCGGATATGCTTGTAAGGCATACCAGCGCTACTTTGCCTGTTGTTGTGCACTTGGGGCAGCGTTATACCTATTCATACCCACAAGTTAATGAGACCAGGATCTTGGCTCTGGTGCTGGTTTGAGACTGGAGCCTCTGCTCCCTTGGGGAAAGATGGGAAGGGCTGATGCCACCTGCCCGATCCCCATGGGAAGGTGAAGGTCAGCAGCGGCGGCAGGCTCAGCAGCAGCTGTGGCCGCCACTTCCACCACCAGAGGCATCGAGGAGGCCCAAACGCCAGCAAAATGGGTGCAGCTTAGCTGACAAAAGAAAACCCCAAGGTGGAGCTCAGGGGCCCCTTTCAGCGCGGTCCCCCGCCATGTCATCCCCTCTCCGGGGGTGCCTCACGCACCCAGCCAGCGGCGCTGCTCCCCACCTCGCAAAGTCCCCAGCCCGAAGGATCTCCTCGACTCTCCTTCACTGCTTGCCGGGGAGAGGTGCCAGGGAGCTGGGGGCAGGCAGGGAGCCCGCTGCCCTGTGAGGGAGAGGAGGGAGCCCTGTCGCTGCTTCTGCAATGGAGGCCGCACGCCTGGCTTCACGCGCGCCCCTCTCCCCACCGGTAACCTCCTCAGCCAGAGCACCACCACCACCACCACCACCACCACCGGCACGTGTGCCATAAGGGTCCTTTCCAGCTGTAAAATTCCCCAGGAGGCACCGGGGGCAGCAACCGTCTCTGAATCTGTGGCGACACCCCGGATTTCGGCAGCCCCGCGGCAGCCCCGCGCCCCTTGGCCCGCCAGCACTCCGGCCCGCAGCAAGGACACCAGCTCGCCTCAGTTCAACACCTTCTCCGAGAAGTGTCCCAGCTTCCCCTCCTCCTGCACGGGCTGCAAGGCCTGGCCGCGGCAGGACGGGCCCCGCTCCTGGGCCAGGGGCCCGGGGGGCCGCCGCAGCCCCCCGCTCCCCGCCGCCGGGCAGGCGCCCTGCAGCTCGGCACACTTCTCCTTGTAGTGCTGGGCATTGCCGGCAAAAGTCTCACAGCGGCTGAGGTTTTCCTCCTGCACGGGGCTGCCCACGTTCTCCTCGCTCGGCCCCGAGGCCGTGGGCCCCTCCTGGGAGTTTTGACTAAGGTAGACAACAATGATGTCGCCCTTGAAATTCATTACTTGTCCACTTGAGATAAAGGTGGAGTTACTGTTTCCAGTCACATTTCCTGGGGAAGGAGGAGGGAAGAAAAGAAGACACAGGTGATTAATACTTTCCCCTCACGAGACGGATGCTTAGCGCAGTGAACTTAATCTGCTGTGGTGGCTTTACTCTTGTTCCATTATTTTTTCCCCGTGACATGAGGATGATATTATAATCAATGCCTTCCACTGGACCTTTTCACTATTTCCATTTTTGCCTCAGGACGAAGCCTGTCATCCACAGGGAGCCTGTCTGGAAGGCGTGGAAACATTTTTCTCTCTTGGTTGCGCACTGGGAAGGAAGAGAGAGCACGACAATCCCGTGCTCCCCATGCTACCCAATGCACAGGCTGCGTCCAAACTGCTTCTGCCTGCAGTTTGTGGGAAAACAGCCATTATTTCTAATTATGACTTTTTTTTTTTTTTTAGATTCCCAGGCATCACATCGGGGTTTTTTTTTTCCCCTTTGGTAAACAATCAGTTCTACTGCGTGGACTAGGTAGTGGGCTTAGTGAATAAATACTGAAAGATTTAATGTCAGACCATACAGTCATATGGTGTCCAAATGACACCGAAGCCCATACAATTATCTTACATTGTCCTGATCCTCCATGTAGGTACACTCCGGTACTCACCTAGTGCCCCATGGATTTACCTCGATATACACTGACCCCAGTAAAGAGACAGAGTCCATACTACAACAACCTAATGGAGTTATAGTTTCAGTCGATCTGCCTGCGGTTAGAGCTTTTCCAGTATAAATTCAATATTTCTGCTCTTCAAGGACTGGGTTGCTGAGTCATTGACAGCAGGGCCAGGCTCTGGGAATTAATAAACTTCCCTCAGAGCAGAAAGAAAATAACTGAGAGCAAACTTTCAAGAACAAACTAACAAACTTGCTAAAGTTTGAAAACTAAACAAACTGAACCAACCAAGTAAAAAAAAAAGCAAAACTTCCTAGCAACCAAGTTAAAAAAAAAAAAATCTTCCTAGCCTGTGAACACTTCTCCTATGAAATGTTTTTGCTGCTGTCCTTCACTTAATCATTATTTGTGGACTGATCTGACCCTTTTAGACATTTTGTGCTTTTCCTCATTACGTTCCTCAACACATGAGACATTCCCATTTTCACTGCAGTTAGGCTTGGCCCAGCCCAGAGAAATGCTGTTTTTCTAGTGGCCATGGGTGACGTTTTCACATCAGGAATGGACTCTAAGCATCCAGCTCTGCTGAGTTAGGACCTTTGCTTGCTTATAACTGAGTCTGGGTAGCACTCGAGAATCTCCCTAATGCCCCCCTCAAACAATCCTTTTTATTTTAGCTAAACCACTGCATTTCAAGCTCTTTGCTTTCTTTCCAAGTGTTGTTGACTAACAAGGTGTCAGTGAGAGCTTTTTCTGTGGCAGTTTTTTCCCTGCCAGTTGCTTCCTCTGAGTTTGATTTTGTTCAGCTGTTTGCCATCAACAAAACTGTTTGGCATAATAGGAGTACAAAAATAACTGTTTGCTTTTATGCAGATTGCCTGTCACTCACAAAAGGTACTGTGGAAAAGTTTACCAGTGCTCAGTACGAGATCAAGAATTTAGAAATATATGTGACAGTGTGGAGGGGAACAAAAATTTAAAAAGGCAGATGAACACATTTATAATATTTAGTTGAATGTGGCTGGCAAATCTTTACTGCTTAGACACTGGACTGCACTAAGCAATATGCTTCCAACCTGGAAGGTATAAGGGACACTTTCAGAGGATAAGTGAAGGTATGTTCTCTGCAGTGTTTCAGCCTTTTGATCTCTTCAGACTACCTGATGGTATTAGTTACAACAACAGATTAATTTTTGTGGTAATTATTCACTAAGAACTGGAACAACGCACACAATTAATTTTCTCTGAGCCATCTAAGGCCTCTAGGTGGTAAGAACTGTTTGTCGCTGCCAAACCGTGCTGGTTTGGGATCTGGAAGTGAAGGGCTCTGCAAAACCATTCCTAATCGCGAATCACGTAAGTCTTCCTGCACTAATGCTTCATGCTATAGCCCTGCACATGACTTGAGGTGGCCATGAACCGACGCTTCATGTTCTGACTGCCTCCAGGCTTGGGCAGTTTGAAAGAGTGCTTGAAGGGTTACCACCATCTCTGGTGGTGACACCTGTAAGTGGCACTCATCCAGAGGTTTACTTTGATCCTCTAGAGTTGTTTCACAGGAGGGACAGAGTGTGCAATTTCTGTTATCATTCTGAGTGTTATGGAACTAAAACCAAAACTTCATGGAATTACCCATGGCTTTTTTCTTCCCATTTTTTCATCTACCCTGTTTCGTACCATTCTGTCTTAGCATGACTGTGTGTAAAGCCTGGTGGCTTCAGCTGCTCTGAGAAGCTGTACAGAAAGTTATTTTGCATGCACATTTATTCCACCTGGGTGTTTCGCAAGGCCCAGAAAAATGACCGAGGCTATTGCAGCTCCACGTGCAGCCCCAGCGTGGCCGGGGTGCTTCAGTGTGGAACCTATGGCTAAACCCTGTCCCACTCATCGTGCAACCAGATGCTGCCATTGGTGCATGGCCATTCTGTGGGCAGAAAAAAACCTCTGCCAGCAAGCCACATTACCTACAGATTAACTAACCCACACTCTTACACTGCCCACAGCTCTGTCAGTACCTTCTGGCAGTCGTGCTTAAAAAATGGCAAATTAGGAACACAGTTTCTATGCTCAGGTTTCACCAGATGGCACTACAGTATGTACACACCCGAAGGCACAGACAGAATTAAAATCCTGTATAAAGAATTATGCTGCAGATCTAAGATGGCACTTTCTAGCACATCACTTACATCCAAGCTCTCCTGTTAGCCCTACTGTTCCTTAATATTTTCTCTTCCTCTTCGTGTCAGATTTAGAAAGAAAAGCAGTACTCCTGCAGTGCCAAATATGACTTGACTTTCAGTTGTACTTTAGAGTCACCTTCCAACAAAAAACAAAAAAAGATAAACTGTGTTCTCTTTACTACTGCTGAATTTTGTACAGACCAGACAGTGAAACTATGTCAGGATTTCAGGAAACGGAAGCAGCAGAAAAACTGTCTGCTCCTAGAAAGATGAATGCTACACACTTTTGGATTCCCACATTGTGCGCATATTGAGAGAGGGAGGGCCTTCAGAAGTGTAGCTTTTGAGCTTTGGCAGACTGACAAGAATGTCTCTGTAAGAAACTTTAAGGCACGACATGGTTTTAAAGGAGGGCAACTGCTTATGACTGCTGTGTATATTACAGTAATACTTAGATGTCGCAGTCAAAACTAAGGTGTCATTATGCTTGGCAGTGCATTGACATAAATAAAAGTAGAGTATCGGACTTTAAGAGATTATAATCCACAGTGACTAATAACACATGACAGGCAGATTGCAGACTTTTATGCTGAAAAAAAGTCTGAGGGCAGAAGGTTGCATCCAGAAAAGGCTCATAACTTCCCTTCTGCTAGTTTTGCCTCAGTGATCTTTTTTTCCCTTCTTTCATTTGACAATGTTGATGTATTTACTCAAATAGTATATTGGTGGTCAATTAGTAAATTGGCAACACTGTTTCAGAGTTGTTTAGAGGACAGAGCACTTGTGTCTGGAGAAACTATGTCTGTATGAAATTATTTTTAGGTGAATGCTTATATCCTAGCAAATTAAAACAAAGAGAAAAAGCTAAAAGCAGAAAATTGAACATAATCTCTCAGACCCAGTTGTGGGCATCAGGTTACAGCTCCAGGTGGAGTTTCACTGCCCGCCATGTAAATGGAACTGGACTTAAACCTAATGGCAAATACATGCGTGCAGACTGTTGAATGAAAATTTGTCTGTCTGAGCATTATGCATCCTTTCTTGACTCGCCCTCTAGGTCCCTATACTTTCCTCCTTCTAAGTTTTCTCCAATACACACACCTGCTGTCACCAAAATACTTCACTAACAGAATTGCTCAGCCTCTGCAGTGACTGATGGGTTCTGCATTGCTGGTTAGATCAGGGCAGGACAGTGATCCCTCGCAGCGATCATACTATTTGCAGAATTCACTATAAACCAAATGGCCTTACTATTTCAGTTTTGTTTTTCACATTAGCTTCAGGGCAATTAAGTGAAAAGGCATCAATTTGATCTTCTGGCCTTGTCCTAAATCACAGCCTCTGAATAATACTGAGCTAGGACAGAGAATAATCCTATGCAACTGTGTTTGAGTCAAGCCTAATGGGCTTACCAGATGCTGGAGGGAGATCTGAAGTGCTGCTGTTGTTTGTCCCTGAAGTGCTTCTGTTTGTGTTCTGGTAGTTCATGTTGGTACTATCTGAAGATGCATCTTCCATACCATGGTCACTTGTTAGAGTGCTCTGACCAGCAGAGAGGAAATTCAAGCCACAGGTGCACGGTGCATAGGATCCAGTTTCTGGGGAGGTGGAGGCACTGTCAGCCGCAGCACAAGGTTTGCTCCACTTTCTGGGAGATTCCCTGTACAGAATTCCACACCTCACACAGATCTTCTCTGAGTCATAGTTTGTTGTAAAACCATCTGTGTCTTTGTTGTCTGTTTCCTTCAGGCAACTGTGGGCATGTTGGCAAGATTTCTGAAGAAGTTTGTCCGTGGCAATGTGTGCCCCATCTATGTCAGAGAAAGGGCGAGTGCCTTGAGAGGCTGATATGTCCTCTGTGCTCCCAATCCCTGAAAAGTACTGATTTAAGCTGTCATTCTCCCCTGCCTCCATTGGTTCTGAAAATGATGAGATGGTTTTACTGGCAGTCCGACTCAGTAAAGATAAATAATCAACGGTATTGAGGTCCTTATCCGTGTATTCATCTTCCGTGGGAACTGGTGGGAAATGGTCATCATCAGTCTCAGTTACCACAGAGAAATTTTGGAGGCTCCCTCCCGCCTTGCACGGCGCCGTGGTGGGGCTCCCATTCCTGCAGGGAGCTTGGCCGCTGGTGCAGCATGAGTTTCCAGGGGCAGGAGGGCCAGTGGGGCCCAGGAGACACATTCCTTCAGAGGTCTGGAGGACAGCAGCATTCGTGTTGTTCATGGTAACAAATGCATCTCTGGGGGGCTCCTGAAAGAAATTCAGAATAAAGAAGTGTTTAATAAAGAGATCGGCAGAAGGTTATTTTCTAGACAAAAAAGGAACGGGCAGATCTCAGTTCTTCCTCGGCGTGGAGCTGCTGAGGTTGAGCAGCACCACTGTATTTGAGTCTTGAAGTGTAATTCTGTTCTGCTGTGAAACTGTGACCGGTGATGCTGGGCTCAGCAGTTGTTCCGAAAAAAATCTGGTGACTTGGGGAGAAATAATGTTTAATTTAAGGATTAAAAAATCCCAAAACAACAATCCAGCAGAGTTGCTGGGTTCTGCTGTTCCTTATGGACCATCAGTAAGACCTACCTAACTACTTATAAGGGTTTGGGAACCCCCACTGTCTCTGAAAGGCTGTTGACCTGGGAAGGCCTTACTGGGAGCAGAATCCTCATTATCAGTAATGATTGTAGAAAGAAACTGTGTTGATTCAGAAGGCCCAAGACAAGATAAAAAAATCCCAAGAAACCACATGGGCAAGGTTGCTTTAACTTGGAAAATGTTAGGACAACAAATGCAAAGGCCCATGACATTGTGTTGCTAGTACCTGTGAAAGTAAAGCTGTATTTTTGGTTGCAGTTCCAAAAAAAAAAAAAAAGGGTTGGGAAATACTTCCAGGGATCCCTTCAGTTCATGCAAGTTGCGCTGTGAAGATGGGTATTTGGGAACCTCTACCTCTCATTTCTAGTGTTTGTTCAGATCTTCCAGGATAGAAGAGAGAGTGTAAACGCTGCCAGCCACTAATTGCTGTTGATTCACTCCTCTGTCCCAGAGGATCTCAGCAGCTGCCAACGCAGGAGGTTGCATGAACTCTTACACGACAAAAGAGGAACTGCCTGCTCACAGAGGTGGGTTTGCTTGGTACGGGGTTTTTTGTAGCAATGGCATTTGAGTCTTTCAATAGCTAAGCTAGACAGAGCTCCTAGATAGTGTGGTGGGGAAAGCAAGCACCTGGGGCACCTCAGTCCACATCTGTGGTGTGAAGCAGGCAGTGCACACGAACTTGAACCTGTACCCCTACCTGAGCGTTTCAAGCATGGGATCTGGTGTTCTTCCAGAGAAAAACCTCTTGTAAGGTCTTTTTTTTTTTTTTTTTTCACATCTGAATGGACAAGAAGGATTTCTTCGAGCACTAGAATTAAGATGTCTCACAGCCAGTTTCTTTAGCTGATGGCACTGGGCTCAATGCCTTGCATGTCTGGCATTCTTGGCATTGCCCCAAATCCAGGTTTCTCCCCTGCAAGCACTCTGGTATGTAAAAAGGTGCAAAGTCAACTGAAGCTTTTCCTGTTCTTAGGATTTAGAAAGCCTCTCTCCTAGGCAGAGTCTCAGGTGCTCAGTAACCAATGGGCTCATGTTTAACTTCCTTCTCATAAATACTTAATCATCCCAGAGACTTTTACCACTGTTAAAACTGGCTGAAACCAGAGAGCAGGTTCAGAAGCTATTTGAGAATGGTGATTTCATACGCCTCATATTTACAGAAAACCAGACTGAAAAAGCCAAAGCTGCGAGCATTTTTTGAGGAACTCCAAACTTGTTTTCTAGCCAAACATTAACGTGGAGTCTGCTTCAGGAGGAGTGTCAGGAATGCCATGAGTAAAGCGTAAAACAAAGAGAAAATGCTAGTGTCCTTGACTTTACCTTTGTTCCTTTTATTTGGCTGCACACTTCGTTAGCCCAGTTCTGTAGGTCTGCTGTAGGGAAAACAAAAAGAGTAGCTGTAACATATGGCAGGCACTGAAGTTAGCCACAGACCTAAACACCCACAGTCATTCACAATCCGCAATATCATATTAAATAAAAACCAGCGAGACTGTTTTTACTGACTGTTGAAGTGTCCCAGTGTCGGTCTAGCTGAGGATTCATTGTAACTGGAACAGGAATGTATTTCTGTGGAACAAATGTTTCCAAGCTCCTAAAATAGACCACAGTTAAACTGTGTTCCACATCAAATGGGGTTTCTTTCCTGGTCATATGTCACACCAAGCTATGACTGGCTCAATACCGACCCGCTTGCAGCCGTACAGTCTATTTCAAGAGCTGTCACATGGATGGCCCAAAGGCCATTCTCAGCCAGGAGTGAAGAACCTGGAGAGAGGAGGGTAAGCCATGGGATAGCAGGCTCAAATATAGCGTATTCCACTTAATCATGGTATACTTAATGGGGAAATTCACTGATTTGGAGTATCTCCCAAGGAAGGGCATTAAGTCTGACAATGCTCTATGGTAAAGCCTGCCACTTTATAGAGTTAGCAATTCTTGTTTCCTGTTTATGCTGTCCGGAGATTTTGTAGGGCTCAGTTCTCATGTACATTTGAAGCTTATGCTGGTTTTGTATGTCTGAAGATAGATCAGCAGGGTAGCCACTGCCAGTTCCCAGCAATGATTTTGCACATTTACCATCAGTCCCCCCCCAAGCAGGCAGAGCTTCTTCCTGAGCCTGCAAGTCCCTGGGGCTCTGGTTAGCAGGATTTGCCACGCAAAGGCAATGAAGGACTGTCGCTGCAGAGCAGCAGGGCAATAGAAACGTCAAATAAAAGAACATAATTTGTTCTAACCTGCTTTGTTCTTAACCCTAACCTGCTTTGCATTGTAAGTATTTGGTTTGCAAGGAGAGTCACAATTTCCTCCAGCCCATCCCAGGAATTCCAGATTTAGCACAACCCATGTTTAGTGTGGCAGAGGCAGCCTATTTCTAAAACACACGTTGAAATACACTTTACAGGAGAGGGTTGCTGTCTTCCCTTCCACTGCTCCTAAAACATTTCATAAATTGCTAGGGCTTGGGAAAGGAGATGATGGAAAAACTACACCATGAAAAGCTTTCCATGCTTAGGGAGAGAAAATAAAAAATGAAAATAACAATATGGGTATGTCCTTAACTAAGGTGATCCAGGGCTTAATACAGAGTTGAGTAACTGCTGAAGATATTTCTGTTGTATTAATAATATATTCAGTACACCACTCATCCAGTATGCCTTAGCTAGAATTTTTCTGGTTTTCTACTTTTAATGTTTATTCTATTCCTTTCTAGTATTTCTTCCATACCTCATCAAAACTTTGGCACTCAGCTAAAAACATTGCCTCCATCATGTTTTCAGATACACACCAGGCCTTTGTCTTGAGATCCATATTTTAACCTGTCCAGATGTAGGTTTCAGGGGAGGGGGAAAGTGGGAGGAAGGAGACAGGAGGTGGCGAAAGCCCCCCATGTCTGTCCCTGCTTCCCTTCGGCCCGGGGGTCTGCTGCACCACCTGGTGCGGGGCAGCCGTGCTGCGGTGAAAGCCCCCAGCACCAGCCCCCCTGCATCCACCCTGAGGGCGGTCACCCCGTGTCCAGGGCTGCAGGATACCACGGGGTGTGCACTCTGCCTAAGTGTAATATGCTGCCTGCCTAGAGGAAAGGAATTTGAAGCCCGGCTTTGAGCTAAAGCATGTCCATAGGGACAAATACAGGGGTAGCACAGAACTTCCAAAATAACTCCTGAGTTTCTTGACCTGGTGGTTACCCAGGAAATCAGAGTGCACAGAGCGTCATGCAGTTGTCACATTCACGAATATCATTAGCTATCACATACCTGTCAGCTTTTTGCCCTTATTCTTGTAGTAGATGATGAAGATGACAATGCCAATTAATGCCACAAAAAACAAGATGACAATCAACACATATAAGATCCTGTTTGTTCCTGCAAGATGTAAGAAAGATAGTGCCATCAACACGCGGCTTGCACTCAGCAGTACTTGCTCATTTTACCTGCTTTTCCACAGAAGAGGGTTTCTTTTCCTTTCTATTTGCTTTTCAGTTTCCGTAACAAGGCCAACAGCTCTAACACTCATCTAGTTCTGCAACAAGCAGCCTTACTGAAGGTACCTGGTACTGAGCAATCTCCATAAAACCAGAGTCTTGTTCAGAGAGGTGTGATCCAGTCATGCTCCTCTGGAAGTCCCCTTACAGGCTGCCAGCAGCCCACGGGCTGTGCTTGCTCTTCCTCAGGGGACAGAGGACATACATCTCATGGAGACTATAGAATTCAGATGGTAAAATTTGTCCTTTATCTCAGGTTATGAAGGATCAGTGCACGCCAGGCAAGCAGCCTCCCTGGTATCCACACTGGAGAAGGACATGGGCAGTGAGCAGGAAGGGAGAGCTACGTTCAGCGGTGACTGTATCCACTGCTGTAAAATGAGCATGGAAAGAAGCTGCTAGCCTTTACACAGATAACGTGTGTATGGAAATCAGCAGGCGGAAAAAAATGAAAGAGCTGTAAATGTGATGGAGGACATGGGTATAACAGCAATGCTGCTTGCCATGCAGTTTCAGTGGGAGGTGTAAAGCTCTGCTGAGCAGTGGACATGGGCCCTCAAGCCTCCAGACTTAAAGTAATCTTTAATGGTGGGATTTTCCAAGAATGCTGTCTTGGTCTACAGCTGTTGTCCCTAGAGTCACCCACAACGGGAATGGAGTTAAGCCAGCCAAGAACCTTAGTAACACATCCCTCCTCCTCCCTGCTACTTTCTAACAGATAACCTAACAGACACAAACCGTCTTCCGATGGCTCAGGCAGCTTCCGTTCCACACAAACTGCATCTGACTTGTCAGTCCCAGGCACAATTTCTGCCATTCCTAGAGCTGTACAGCTAAAAAAAAAACAAAGAGGCTAAGTTCTCAAAGAGGAAGCTTGTCATGGCTCCTACACTTGTGCAGAGTAGTACTTTCTGTTGTAACGTATAACATTTCTTCTGCATTTTTCCACCCTTAAGAACCTCAGATACCTTTATTTTCAACTGTGTCAGCTCAGCAGTTCTGTTGCTACTGCTCTCTCTTGCTCCCCCCCAAGGAGAACTCAAGGTTCAGGGTGAGAATGCCTTTATGGCTGCACAGCCAACAGAGATGCTCTGTGTGCTCTGCAGACAGCCTGAAACACCCCACTGGAAAATGCTTTTGTCCGAGCGTCTCCCTGCCTCTGGCTGTTGTGATCCTTTTACAAGACACAGGGACTTACTTGGTCCAGGATTTACACTCTTCGGTGGATGAAGCAACCTTTGAGAAGTAGCCTCTGGCACATGGTATACACATTGTGTCCTTGTCTTGTTCCACTGTGTGTAGTAAAGGAAGAAAAACTTCATAGCTGAGTTTCCGTGGGTTCCTTTCAGGTGAGGAAAAGGTGACTATGCTCCCCACCCCCCTGGTCCACCCTGTCCCCCCAGGCCCCTTGGAAAGGTTCTCTGAAGAGAGAAGGATCTTAGATTATATTAGAGCAGCAATGACAGTCACAGGTAAGCAAAAAAAAGTATGATAGTCTCACCTGAGCACCTCTTCACATGATCAAAATGAGAAATGAGAAGGAGTCATTTGAAGTTATTGTAAAATAACACACAGCTATTATATCCTTCCCCTTCCATTAACTTCCTCGGGTCAATGGTATGCCACAGACAGCAATGCTAACTGGTGGTGTCACTTCTATGAAGCCACAGTAAACAAAATGCTGTGTCAGGATTTGCTAGACTGGAGAAGAAACTTCACCACTGCGCTCCAGGGCCATGCAGCATTTCATCTGCCATTACTCTCTTATATGCCGCTTTTTTGGGGTTCCTCATGCTTGGCACATCTGTTCCCAGTGTTCGCTACAACTCTGAACTTGACTGTCTCTATTTTCTACCCACAAAGCAACTGTATTTTGTTTTTGATCAGACTTAAGACTACGCTAAACATCTGTAATAAATCACTGCATTGCAAGTCATCTAAAACAAAATACTTGCGCTACCTGAAAGATGTTAATCACTTTTAACTTGCTTATAACATTATAAAATGGCAAAGCAAAGTAGTTGGACAAAAACCTATTTCAAACCCAGCATCAGGAGCAATCCCCACTGGACTGCTTCTCCGAATACTGGAGCAATGCATGATCCAGTGACTCACAGTCAGACACCTCAGCAAACATCAGAAATGCACTGAGCACCTTGCCATGTCCATGTGCTATCTTGCAAAAATCACTTGATCCAAGATACTATTTGAACCACAGAGGTAGACGCCTTCAAAATGCAAATAGTCTAGGAGGGTTATACGCAGCAGTAATGATAACCCCGATACACACCTTCTGTTAACAGTCATCTGAGAGTCCTCTGTAACGTCACAACCCACGCCACGCTGGCCTCATCCTGTAGGCCTCAGCTGGACATTTCAGTTCATACATTCCCTTCCTGTATCTTACCAGGATGCTCGACTCCGAATCCTGGAGCACATATGGTATTTCGCTGACAGCAGTCGCAGTCTTCATTCCAGTGGTAGCCCATCGTACAAGCACACTGCCGCTGGAACGTGCTGTTCCCTGGGTTCACTTCTCTCAAAGCTTTCCCTAAAAGAGAAAGCAGATGGGAGTAAAAATCTCTCTGATAATAAGCCTCGAGTTTATGAACCTCCTGATCTACCTATCTGCTTTGCATTGCCTATTTGTTTTGCCAGATGCAAAACCATTCAATGTTAGAGGAAATGTGATATTTCAAGAAGCATGGGAGATGCTTGATCAGCACAGGGCTCCTCATTGATTGCATGCCTAAGCAGTACTTTTTTTTGTAGAGCTTTTGCAAGGGTAGAGACAAATATCTTAGGAGAAGTGCATGCACAGTATGCTGGGCAAAAGGACAACTTTAAGAGCCAACTCCCAGGGTTGAATGGCCCCAGTGAAGATAATCATTATCAGCAGCATGGAGGCTACGGACGTGGTGCTCAGCACAGCACAGAATCTGCTCTCTGGGGACCTCCCTCTCCACCAGACTCTTCTGTAAGCCCAACCACCAGCATCAGGTACCTGAACAAAGCGACTTCCCTAGATCCGCTTTCTCATCTTTGTGCTTCACTAATTTGGATTAAAAGGTTCTTCAGTATGAACAGCTCACCTTGATCGCATATTTTATGTAGTAAGCATTTATCTTCTTCATTCCAGACATCCATATACTCGTTTGGGCCACATGGCTGACACATGCTATCAGAAGTACCAGTGCATCTAGCAGACATATACTTTCCTATGAATGAGAGAAGGACAAGTAGATTGTAAGCTACACGCCAGCTGCCTAAGGAGCTTCGGGAAAATCACAGGTTGGGCTAACACTGCTGTGGATGATCCTTTCTGCCTGCCACCTTTTCAGTTCCTCCGTTTGGCCCTCGTTCAGCGTGGCACTGAAACATCCATGAAGCCCGTGGCCCGGGAGCCGCCTATCTACACGCATGAGAATCAGGCTGCTTTCTGTCTCCCGCGGACGGCCAAGTGCTATCCCAGCGAAACAGCTGCCAAGGCTTTTGCTGAGGTCAGCAGGACCACTCCTGCACTCGAAGGCGCTCGCAGGCCTGAAGGCACCCACGTGCGAGGGTGCGTGCCAAGAGAGCAGCAGTCCCCAGAGCGGGCTGCCTCCCTGACCCACACAGCTGTTTCTAAGGAGCTTTCCAGTTAGGAAGCCAGTGCCGCCCAGTGCTCACGTACCTGGCTCACACTTTGTGCAGCACCGTCCAGAGTATTCATAGTGTTGTTCGCTTTCACACGGCAGAGTGATCTGTAGTGACAACTGGAGCAGAGAAGGAGAGAGAGAGGATGTGAGAACCGACAGACCTGGAAAGCAGAGAGGAGGAAACTTTCCTTCTACGTAGCGTTTCAGATAGCTAAGCGGTAAAAATTACCCAACATTTATGACTTCAAAGGAGCTTTGTAGACATGCAAAGAATATGTACTTGATGCTGTATGCACAGGGACTTGTAATACAGCCAGGTGATAAATAACAGAATCTTGTAATTTGTCATGAACTTTTGGCCTGCTATACCACCTGTTCTTACAGTACTCCATTATTTGAAATCTATGACTTTAAAACAATTGTAAAGAAAAAAATTGGCATAGAGATACTTCTGTAGTCTCTTCCATGGATATGACCTCAGACCAACACCTGGGCAATTGACAGCTTTAATGTATAGCATTAAGCAAACAACTAGGGTGAATGATTTATACGCCTGAAAAAGAAGAAGTTCCCAGCTTCCCACTGGGATACACAATACTTCTGACTAGCCCCAGAAAATACCGGACTTGAATTTTGCAGCTTTTTATGACTCCCACTGTGTCCTGCAGAGACGACCTCATGGAACTGAGGCGGCCATCCAGAGAGATGATGCAATTAAGCCAACAGCTTTTTGCTTCTCAAAAACCAAACCAAAAACCAACGGAAAGCGTGCCCCCAAACCACCTGACACATATACGCGGGAGGGCACTTGCAGAGCAGGCGGCAGTGTTGCCCCTGGCTCTTAGAGGCCTCCGCGTCCCCTTGCTGCTCTTGGCGGTCCTACCCGCAGCCCAGCACACGCGGCTCCCTCGGCCAGGCCTCGGGGCTCGGCTTGTGCTGGGGATCCCGGCCAGCCAAGCACCCTGCCCAGCCCCTCGCTGGCCCTGCTCTGGCTGCCCGCGACTCTCCCGGCAGCCACTCTCCAGGCAACTCAACGCCTCACAAACAGTTGTTGATCTTGCAGTAGATACGGTGATTCAAAATCTAGCCCCTAGTAAGGAATCCTTCGTTACTGAATACAGTTGTTAAAAATCTCATTTACTTGGAGAAAGCTACTCTAAAGCTTCTGCTGCTGGTTAAAGGGAGCTTTTGCCATCTAATAGCATATGACAGCCCCGTGCCTACTGATCCTGGTTTCCATTCCTCTGCTTAGCGTTCGGCCCTTGTTTCCTCCAAGTCTTTACTTCTCCTCTTTCCTCCTTTTCTAGTTTCAGCAGTCGCAATCTCTTTAAATAGAAAATATTTTTCCTTGAGCGCCTTGTCCTCTTCTAATGCTGGGAGGGGTCATGCAACTTAAAGATGACCAAAAAGGTTGAAATTTTTCTTTAAAATGCTGCCTTTTGGCCTGGAGTTTGAGCCATGGGTTGGTGCATGACTTGTGTTTATCAAAACTGCACTAGCTGTGTCTGGAACAGAATAACTACCTCAAGTCAGAGGTCTTGAGTTTCTGTACTTTTGCAGGTTATAAACGATTTCTGGCCATTTTTTTATCATTACAACAATCCCAGGTCAAACTAAGAGCCCAGTCTTGCAAGAAATCTTGTGTTGTCTCATATGTTTCCTTGTGTCTTTCTTTACATTCATTAGCAGTACCTTTCTTGTGATTATATGTTTTTTTGGAACAAACATTGCATTTCATGTTTGAGCAGCACCTCCCAGGATAACGATCAGTGCTGGCGAGGTGAGAGGCCATCTAGGAAACAGAAAGCTGGGCCAGCCTGGCAGCTGAACAGTGACACCACTCAGTGTCCCAGGGGAAAGGCTGAAAACACTCCCGTAATTGAAGGAGCTAATTTTCTGTAATGCACTTCAGGCAGCGTCTGCTAAATCACTAAGCTGGCCAGCACGGGGTTGAGGCGATGTTGCAGGACTGAGCAAGCAGAGAGAAGGTCTTGAGCGACTGATTCCCTATTCCCAGCCTTCTGAAAAGGCAACAAAAGTAACGAGGAGACCAACAACAGGTCCAGTCACTTGCTTCTTGTCACAGAACATCCTCTTCTTCCTTGTTTGCCCCAGTTTGATAGTTCCTCTTTAGAAGAAAAGACTAAAAAATTACTGAAGTGTCAAACAAGGGCAAAGTCATCCTTTTTAAGGAAGGATATGCAAATCTGCTGAAGGGCATTCAGTAAAGGGTTTGGAATAATTTCTGAGAATCACAGCTCAGCCTGAGAAGCAGCAATTCCCTGGCACCGAGGCTACAGGCCATTTGCTCGGCCACCTTTTGGGAACTGTTTCATACCTCCCTGCTTTACTGTAGAAAGGGGGCTATTGGTGCCATGTAACTCACAGCTGCAGCTGCATACATCTATGCTCCGTACATAGTCTCTTCTGTGACTGTGTCCTCCCCCCACCTTTTCACAGAAGCCAATGCATTCACAGAGCTGCGCTACTCCCTCCTTTGATTTATGCTCGGCAATGTAAAGACAAGGTTCTTGGTGCCCATGTGCTCACATGAGCCCAGCCTCCTCGTGAAGGTGAGGGATTTTGGCCTGGTATGGGCTGACTGGACCCGCCAAGCATGAAAGGTGTGGGGACAAGAAGTGAAACACAAGCAACTTGGGGTTTTGTTAGGGTGGGAGCCAAACTCGGGCTCCTTTACTAACACAGCCCTGTTGAAGTCAGGTTATCCCTTGTTTAACCCTCTGCCAGGGGATCGCATGTGCCACGCTGTCAAACTGGACATCAGCTTCACCTCAGGGGCTGGGAAGTACTCGTGCTGCTGGCAGCACGATGACCGGAGCATCGCCACCACCAGCGCATTCCCGCCACCGTGTCCTTCAGAGACGGGGAAGTGCAATTCATTTTGCAGATGAGGAACTCGCACCCCGAGGCCGGCTGGTTTTATGGAGGTGACAGGAAACCAAACCAAGTCTTAAGTTTGCCCTGTAACCCCTGGAACATCCTTCCTCTCATCGGGTGCTGGCCTGTGGGTCAGAGCGACTTGGACATCGCAGAGCTCTTATCCAGAGAGAGAAGGGGTCTCAATGAATGAGAAGGTATCTGCATCCTCTGAAGTGATTAAATAAGACAAAGCCCACTCCTTTGACGGTCTCACTATTGATGAAGCTGCCCATTGAATACCACCACCATGTGCAAATGAGTGCTTCAAAGAGCTCTAGGTATCCTGTGTACATTTAATTTGTCACTTCTAAAGTGTGCAAAGCACATGAATTTGCACCAGTTCCTAAAAAAATAAAGTCAACTTTCCCGCCTGATTAACATTACCTTAGAACAAGTATATCTGACAGGAGAAGAGCCCAGGGGAAAAAAGACAAACCTCCTCTGGGCTTGGTGGATCCAGTTCGGTAGAGCATGCCAACACCTGCACATAAGTAGCACCAGTGACTTCTTTGGAAAAACAGGTATGCTCATGTCAAGGTTTGCAGGAGAACTGTGTTCTCGTGTTGAGCTGCAGGCAGCCTTTTCAGATGCTTTTTGTTTTGTTTTGTTTTTTTTTCCTATTTGTTGAAAAGGACGCTAAGCAAGAGTGTGCTTGTACAGTCGGAGAGCTTCGATGACTCAGAGCTACAAGGCACCACTGTGTTACTCAGACCTTGAAAAAACACACACACAGGTGCTTCTGAAGGGGGAACCAGCAGCATTCAGATTCCTGTCCTCAGGCTTAAGGAAATATTTATTCTTGGTACCATTGAGCAATCGGATGGCAGCAGAAGCTGTGTGTCATGGATGCTAAAATTACTTTCTTGCTCAGATGAATATTCAGACAGACATTTCAGAGAAGATAGAGTTGCATGGGCCTCTTTCCTTTAAAAGAAAAAAATCTGGAAGAACAAGCTCGGGGGTTTCCACAGTCTTTTTCCCATGTCACTTCTGAACAAGAACCTGAGGCCTCAGTGAGGTTTGCTCATTACATCTCGATCTTTGCAAGACTAAGATTATCACTAAAGGGACACGTTAAGGGGCAACTATCTTGAGATGACACCTTCCTGCCTAGTGTTATTGTTTCTGGACAGTATTCAAGTCATCTGTCATCATTTCACTGAGAAAAGCACCTCTTTTTCTCCATGTACTATTATAGAACCAAAGTACCTATGATACATACAGCTGTGTTCTGTCCTGCCTTGCACACCACTTGTTCTTTATGCTTTGGAACCTGAGTTTATTCAGATCACTTGCTTTTGGGGACCTTAGACTTGCATGCTGTAGAACTATAATATTTCTGTGGATTTTGGGCTTTATTTGCCTTCATCAAGAGGGCTGAGCTGTTACCAACATTTCCTGATCTGAAGTAACCCCTGCAAGCACATCACCCAGGTATCCAGCTAGGATGACCTCTGCAGTCATCTGCTGGTTTTTCTCCTTCAAAAAGGAGCCGCTTCCTCTCCTCTCACAGGTACCGACTGTGCAGCCATAGCCTTCCAGCTCCCTATCTGATTTGGGTCAGCAGTATTGCTAAACAAAATCCAGATTTCTTCAGCTTGTTGCCCCTTTCAGAGATTTACCTAAAAAATTATCTAAGAATAAAAATGGAATATGGCTCTTGATGGGTGCTGCTCTGTGGCTGGTGCTCACAGGCACTCTATTGAGGCGTGTAATAGTACTGTGCACAATGAACAACTCTGGAAATTTTTACAATTGTGCATTTATACGGTGAAAGAAGAGTCTTATGTTAAAAACTTAATCATAATCACATGGATGCTGAATGCAACAGTTGTCTCATAGACAGTCTCCACTGTTGATAAAAATTAAATCAAAGCAGCACACAAGTCACATATTTCCAATTCCAGTTATTCGCTTGCAGGTCTATAATTCACGATGAAAATCTTAGATTGTGAATGAAATGCTTTTGGTGATGTCAACTTTCCAGTGACCAGTGAACCACATCACAGAACTACCACCACGTGGTAAAATACAGCCGGGAAACGGCTAAAAACTAAATATTATTTCACTCTTAAAAATAGGTCCTTGAAACCCTGCTAGAGCCTGAATACCTAAAGAAGCCAGAAAGAACACGAGGGACAAAACTGATAATAAGGAGATAATCAGGATAATAATCA